TTTTTGTAGCAGATGACCTACGATTGTGCGCGGACTGCTGTTGCTTGAACACCGTTCGGCATCAAATGCGTTGTGTTGAGGGCGGGGAAACCGTGGAGAGGTTCCGCAAAGGCTGCTTACACGGCTTTTGATCCAGTCTTTACCATCCATCGCGATATCATACAAATCATGCTCACATGCCGCTAACTTGACTGGTTGGAGTAGGATCCTGGTTCCTTGAGATCTGGATGTCAGAGACTGACGTCGTCTTTTGACTAAAACTTCTTGACATGTTGAAAGACCTGTATTGTTAGCATATGAACTCAGAACGCCAAAAAGCCGGGAGATTTATAACTTTCTTAGTAGCGTCATGTGGAGCACTTCCGCGAAACAATGAGAACACTGTTGACACAATCACATCAATAGTATTCATCTCCCATCACGTAATAGTTCAAGAGTTATACAGGACTTTGTTTGGTGGTGTAGCTTCTAGGTGGTGGGTGGTGAGCACTTTTGATGTGGTTTTGTCAATAGTGTTCTCATTGTGTCTTTGTAGTGTTCCCATTATGAGTGTGTTTTATAGATATCAAAGCGAAAATAGGATTCTGTCTTACTTCACTTAGCCATACTTCATTTGTGTTCTCCGCACCAAAAGATGTTTTCCAATAGTAATGCACAATTTTAATCAATTAAAACAAAACTTATTTCTTGTGCCATTCAGTCTTCTCCGACGACGAGATAGGATCTCGGAACGTTAGAATGTAAAGTAATTACATTCTAGCTTTATTATTATATATATTAATTTAATAACGAATGTATGGGTAATTTTGTGCGAACCATCTCACCTAAACGATATATATATACACGATATAGATATATATATATATATATATATGTATATAAATAATACATCGCTTGCAGGTTTAGACGGACTGCGTTTTAAGATTGCGCGGAAGGCCAGCGCCAATACAACCAGGGTCCAGTTGATCTCGATCTCACATGGCGTCCGCCGCGGACATCCCTGCTACAGCCAGGCTTCCCGCCACCATTATCGGGCGGAGGCGCGTCAACTTCTGTTCCAAGCAGTGGCGTACTCGTGCGTTGGCTGTGCCCCACGGATTACAAACCACAGTGCGCATCTCTGGTGAGATTGGATCAGTTTCATTGAGTCTTTCACTCCACGTTTCGACTGTCCTTTCGGCTGGCTAAGGGAGCCAGCATGAATATTTGTCGCAGGCCTGGGCGATAGGGGGTTTGCAGTAGGACGTCCGCGCGAACGCTGCATCTGTATACGCTGTCGCACTGCATTCCCGACGTTATCATGTTATGACTGATACTGGAGCGGTACATTTATGGCTTTACATCATGGCTGTTTCGCGCTTTAAAGGGTGTTCCACATGTAGATGGAGTTTTAACTGAAATAGCCATCGTGAAGACCTTTCGGTGCTACTCACAATCTTGCCATTCATCAAACCTAAACCCGCTTAGTTTCTGAGTTACTCGCCCGCTAAAAGGGGAAAAGGTATATCGGGGAGAGTATTTCAAAGTCGCCTTGGCATTCATGGCGTCATAATAACGTCATGAAAATCCTGCCATTCCATAGGCCATGTGGCGAGCAAGGCCCAGAAAAAGTGAGCGCGATTTCCAGCTGTTACGGCTGTCGATTGGTTCACAATCAGCGTTGTGCAGGATAAGTAATCAAGCCATGACACATCGAGGAGCATATTCACTGAACAAAGAATTGTACCGTCTAGAGTAGTCTTTTCGACCTAAAAAGTATACCAATACTAAAGTGAGCTTGTTTTCATCATATCTGACGCTTACTTCAAAATCTTCAACTGTGGAACACTCCCTTTCAGGTTGCTCACTATATTCGAAATCCGTCTTGTTTTATTGATTTCAACCACTTTGTTTAATGGAGCTGCCGATGCTTAATGATACTTGGACCTTCTCTTAGCTTTGATTGGGCTGAGGTCGTAATGGATTTTCCGAGTTGAATGATGTCGCACTGAAGTTATGTGCTATGCAATCTGCCTCCTTTGAATCAACTCAGCACCATGCTTTTCTTTCTTTTTCCTGTTGTGGTGGTGGTGGACAACACTTAGCAATAGTGTAATCTATTTTCATTGACAACGGGAATGTCTTCGCTGTAGAACGATATGTGTGATATGAATTTCTGTGCTATTGAACTGAGGCTTAGTCAAAGCATTGTGACCGGGTGGATTTCTGGAATACGCTCCCACGCTAAGCAGTGTTCACTGGGCAAGCCCTGACCGCACCATCCGATCGTGACATTCCGGGCCAACGGTGGAGTATTGCGGCCAAAGCTTAACGTGTCGCGATGCTCGGCACAGTCCACCCTATCTTCTAACGTCACCAGCCATGCAGGTGCGGCAGGGCTGGTGACTATTCCAGATAGCTATAACCAGATATTCCAGATAGGGACAGATAGCGAGCGCCTATAGCGACTCGAGCACTCGCGCCATGGGTGGAGAATTGGGAATGCAGGCGCTCCGACTAAAACTGAGGACGGATTCGATAGCACTGACTCAACAAACGATGCAGTGTACCAAGCCACATGCACTCTTATGTTCGACCATTCACATCTACATTTCCACTCCTGGGAAGATCGCTGACAAATTTTGAAATACATATTCGGATGTGGCATGAGTTGGCTTATTTTTGAATTATGATGTCGAGAACAGACTCAAAGCCGTTGACCCTGCACAAAAAGGCTTGCCGTCGTGACGTGACACATTGGCCGCGCCAGCGAGTTTGGGATTGGACCGTGTTATTAGGGAAAAGTTGATGGTGCGAAGTTGCGGCTGACACGTTTACTCCAATTCACTTTATACACGGACGCTTCAGCCTGTTTCGCGCGATGTGTGGTGGTACACGAATGATGTAAATGTGAAAATGTGGAAAAACAGGCATTTGTTACTAGGACAAACGCCATACCAGTTACTAGCCAGAATACTGAAAATTAAATTTCTGTAAAGATGCGAAATGCTATGATATTGTATGCACATTGATTTAACTGTCTGCCTCAATTTTGAGCGGACCGTCGTTTTCTTGCTTGGTCTCAAAGAGATGTCTATGTTTATTGCAGGCAACTTTTGCAGGTAAGTTTCGGGATTGAATGTTTTAATTTGATTTTCATAAGGTTGTTAATTGCTATTTTTTGGGCTGGCGGATCGCTTACACTCTGAATAAGAAAAGCACAACTCGAGAAGCAGTCCAGATAAGAAAAGACACAATGCACACCGATTATAAAACGTGGCCACACTTACCCACGCTCAGACACAAAGTTCGAGTACATGCAGACCTGAACAAATTTCACTGGAATGTTATTGTTGACTGGAAAAACCCATTTTTGGGTAAAAGCTGAAGCAAATTATTACAGGCAATGGTTAGATGTGTGAAAGATCCGTGTTCAGCATTGTTAGAGGGAGTGTTGCACATGGTGTGCGGTTTTGAACTGAAATAACCATCTTGATTATCATTCGGTGCAGCTCGCAGCCCTGCCCTTCTCAAGACCTAACTCCTCCTAGTGTCTGAGCCTACATGCCCGCGAAGATTTGCAGACTTTTTTTCGGGGGAGACCATTTCAAGGTCACCATGCGTCCGTGACGCCACAAAAACGTCATTAAAATCCCGTCATTTCATTGGCTATGTGGCCATCAAGGCCAAGAAAACATAATTGTCGAGTCATTGATATCTGGCGTTCCTTAGCCTGATTTTAGACAAAATGGTCGCCAATTTACTCCCAATCATTGTTGTGCAAGGTGCGATGACGTAAGTCAACAATGTTTTGTGGACCATGCTTACTAAACAGGGACATTCTATGTATTGTATGTATTCTATATATGGCCAAGAACGGCTTTTTCCGCTTGAGAGTGTACCAATGATTATAAGTGTGTTCATTTCATCATATCTGGTGCTTGCTTTAATTTCTTCCAGTGTGTAGCATTCCCTTTAATCTTTTCAAATGGCTTAATGAAAAGGTCGTTGTACCGAGAGCGCCGAGCAGGTGTAACCAGACCGGACAGCGATGTAGGTTGAGCGTAATCTATCCTGTCTTGACACGCGTTGTATAAATATGATTTCTTGTACTGAGTAAACGTGCCGTGATAAATGCTGTGTCGTAATAAGCGGGAAGATGCTCATAATCCAGTGGAGGACACTGAGCCGAGTATTCGAACTCAACCACATGAGCAATGGGTGCTGTAGTCGTCGGAACCAGGCGAGATGTGACGCGACAGCACCACTGCAAGCAACGGCACGGCACCCAGTAAATTGGCTTGCATGAGCGTCGATGGCACGCAACAAAGTCTTCTATTGAAGGGTCTTTGACGAGGCCACGACAGCGTTTGCACCGCTGGCCGCCGAACTCTGGCAATCGCTGTCTGTCCGGCGGCCTTGCGCTCCGCTGTCTGCTGATTACACTGCCCCCTGTGAAGTCACCCTGCAATCTGTTGTCTACTGAGCCAACACTCTAATTAAGCCGCAACCTGCCAATCCATGTTCCGTTGTCTGCTGATGAGCGCGACCTGCTCCCCCCCCCCCCCCCCCCCCCCGCCTGCTTGCTGACCGTGCGGCTGCCGTCTGCGGACCGTCTGCTGACCCGGCGGCTGCCTGTTGCTGTGCGATGCTGATCGCGCGACCCGCCGTCTGCTGACCGTCTGCTGACCCGGCGGCTGCCTGCCGCTGTGCGATGCTGATCGCGCGACCCGCCGTCTGCTGACCCGGCGGCTGCCTGCTGCTGTGCGATGCTGATCGCGCGACCAGCCGTCTGCTGACCGCCTGCTGACCCGGCGGCTGCCTGCTGCTGTGTGATGCTGATCGCGCGACCCACCGTCTGCTGACCGTCTGCTGACCCTGCGGCCGCCTGCCGCTGTGTGATGCTGATCGCGCAGCTCGCCGTCTGCTAACCCGGCGGCTGCCTGCTTTTGTGCGATGCTGATCGCGCGACCCGCCGTCTGCTGACCGTTTACTGACTCGGCGGCCCGCCTCGCTTGCAGAGCCGCCATGTCGGAGTCGACGGTGACGACGATCGGCTGTATCGGCGCCGGCTACGTTGGCGGCCCCACGTGCGCCGTCATCGCGCTTAAGTGCCCCGACATCCGCGTACACGTGGTGGACATGAACGCCGCCCGTGTCGCCCAGTGGAACTCCGACAAGCTGCCTGTGTTTGAGGTCAGTCTGCAGGCTGCTTCGACGGCACGTTTCTGGACCAGTAAGCCTTGCGCTCGAATATAAACGGATTTCTTTGAAACACCATCGGCATGTTACTTGTCAAGCATTTATGGCGGCCTCAGAGCTGCTTGGTAATGCAAATCAGCTGCGCCGCCGGTAAGGATGCATTGATCCTACATTCTTGTCACTGGTCGCCGGAGCTGAAGCGTACGTGACTGTCCACACGTGCATTGCCGTGTATGATGCATTGTTCACATGTATTTACGATGAGCCAGGAGTTAAGGCGGTCGCCTCGGGAGCGCGTCCAGGTGGTGTCACGGATGTTGGGCGCTCTGTCTGGCGGCCATCTGGTGTCCTCTGCCCGGTACCTGCCCCCACTCTGGTCGCTGTCCATTTAATCGCGTCTGCTATCGGTCCGTGCCGTCGCTGGAGACTGCCGCCAGCCTGGCAGCGGCTGTGTCGTATCGCGCTCGGTGCTCGGTGCGGCCGCGCATCTGCGTTCTGTGACACTCATTGGCAACTGTAGCTGGCCGGCGTGACTGGTAGGCCTCGGTTCTCGACGGGCGGCGCACTTCCGTCCCGTGCGCAATGTCGGAACCCACGTCAGTTTGCGCGCTGGCGGTCGGCTACCCACGCTCAAGCGCGGCGGGCACTGGTGTGTCGCGCGGCTGTCGGCTCTGCTTGGGTCGAACGGGACGTCGACCGGACCGGAACGCAGACCTCTGCTCGGAGGTAAACTGTCGCGGCGACTGCGTGGAAAGAATCACATGCGGTGATGCCGCTGCTGAGCTTGCCGCGTCTCCGCCTCGGAAAACATCGAGTCTCTCCAGCGTGACCGTCGAGAATACCGCTTCGGTCACCTTGCCCCGGAGCCCGGCCGCGGCGGGCCAGCCGCGCAGATGGTGCTGCCGTCGTGGTGCGGCAACGCGTTCGAGGCCGGTGCGAGGAGTTGATCTCGCCCCTGCCAGGTCGCCGCGGTGACGTTTGAAACTGGCGAGTGATCATTGGCCGATGCCGCCCGTCTCCACTCTGCTAATCGAACCGGAGCTATGTCAGTTGCATTCTTTGTTCATGAAATACGTCAAAAATATGCCTACTGCACTCTTCGTCTTACAGTTTTGTCCGTTTTTCTGTGAGCTGCCAAGCTTTTGGGTATTCCCGGCTAGAGTGGTGATGGCTCACGGCGCCTTGTGTGAACAGAAACGGCGGGCGGTATTTGCGCTGCTCGTCGTTTCCTCATTACGCGTATCTGTTTCCAAGCACGTCTGTTTGTGCACCATGAGAAGGTTGCATACAGGCATCCATACTGCAGCGACATGGATGGATACAACACGTTGAGGGTAAGAATGTCACAACCAATTCCGTAGGATGATCACAAAACTCCTCGACCTGCTGTTCCTGAGGAGACGTCAGTTTGGCTTGACGACGGCGGAACACTTTTGAAACATCAATGTACTGTACATGCCTTCATGGGAAAAAACATCGTGTGGAGTCCATGGCAAGCGCCAATTTTTTTGTTTTTTGATGAAATAATGTCCGCCAAAGTGTGAAAGCTTATGATCAGCTACAGCCGTGCGACAAGAAGATGCCGCCGATTACCTGTCTTGCTAATCCGTTTGTGGGAATTTAAATTACATATGATAGCTCCACGGGATGGCCGTTGGGGCACAGTTTCGCGGTAAGCGCGAGCGGGCGGTCACGCGGCGTTCTTATCAGACCAAATACTCCCCTGCCAACATCGATGCTGTGTTGGACCGGCTCGTAAACGGAACGATGCGCGAAGGTGCACTTCCCCATGCCCAGATTACCCAGCATGGCGTCTTGGAGCCTGCGTATCAGCACTGCTGCGGTGTTCACATGATAACGCTGCCTCAGTGGGCTCCCCCGAGGGCCTTTGATTTCGTACGCAGCATGCGATGCAACCGGAAATGTTTGTTTGCAGCGTTAAAGTAGCCAAAGTCCAGGTTAGACCTCGCACCGCGGGAGCATTTCGTTATCCGCTACCGTCTGCGGAGCCATATCTCCGCCTGACGTCTAAGGTTCCAATCGATCAAAAACCCAACGGCGATTGATAGCTTTTAGTCACGTGATGGCACGCGCTAGGGTGGGGGGGGGGACAATTTCCCTCCCCCCAAAGGCTTTCAGGATTAATTCCTGACTGACGCTGTGTGGCCACGCCAAATTTTACATAGCTGTAGAAAGTTAAATAGCGGATCTTTTGGTAGCAAAAATTTGGATGCATCCTGTAAGGTCGCTAACTCATGGCAAGTCAAAGCCAGGCCATGGGCTCAGCGAAGGCAGTTCTAGGGAATTGTTCAAACTGATGCAGTAACGAGTGTTAGACGACGTCATACATCTCTGAGATAGTCTCTTAGGCAAGGCAACAATTAAATTGACAAATTGTATTGACCTAGGGTCAGGTATGAAGGTCAGACCAAGGTAGCAACCTCTGTTTTTGCTCGAGATCCTCTGTAACTTTCTGGTGCTCATTTTGAATTTATCTTCAACAGAGATCGCATTTTTCATGGACCTCTTAGAGGTCAAAATAGGTCACTGACCAAAAATGACCCAAGTCCTCATTCAAGTACTCAAGATAACAATTTCGCACGGTCTGTTTGATCGTCTTGGCATACAGACTTTTCATAACACAATCAGATAATTACATATTGGGGAGCATATCTACTTAATAGAGAAACTGTGTTGTCTCGAGTAGAGTTTGTCAGTCGAAATTGTACTAGCGATTATAAGTGAGCTTATCATCATATATGATGTTCACTTCGTTATCTTCAAGTGTGGAACACTCCGTTTAAGAGGTGGGATCTGAGGTGGCCCTCCTGAGGTCGTCTCACGGGCCGGCAGAGGTCCCCGACTGGTGGGCCGGCATGCAGGTGTGACTCTCAAGACAGCCTTGAGGAACACATTCAGGGCAACGTTGTCGGGTGAATCAGCCGCCGTGTGCCGTGACCTTGAGTCATTGTAGGCGTATTGGTCGGGGATCCTAAACTTTGTGAGATCCTCCAGCATTGGCTGATGGAACGAATGATGTTTTGGTTGAGGGCCACTGCGCTCAAGATCAAAATTTCAAGATATGTTTTTGGATTCAGCTACGTGTCTATACTACCGCTTAAGCATGGCGGATGAAAGCTAGCTCTCATACAGCGGTTAAGCTGATACAGTTTGTGTCGGCATGAGTCACGCACCGGTGCACGTTTCTCCAACTGCGCCGTTAAAGCCGAACGTTTAAGAAAGCGATACGGTGTGCTAAGATTTGTTGGCGTGGGTATTGGAACAAACTGGTGTTTTGGACTCCTGTCATTGATATTATCATGAAAGTCGGGTGTTGAATACAGAGCCTCCAGCTGGGTACGGCAGCGACTGGGACCGACCCAGCCGCCGACTGCACCGCGTGCCCCCTCCCCCCCTTCCGAACAGCCGTCTCGAGCAGCGCTGGCAGCGCCGTGACTCGCTCCTGCGATCGACCGCTGGCTCAGCGTTACCGGCCCGACGCGGCGCCGCCGGTACCGCGGTCACCGCGCGGGCCGTTCCGGCGTCGGCCTGGCCGCGACCGGGCACACCGTGCCTCCAGACAGGCCCGGTCCGGGGGTGGCTGCCTGGTCAGCCCGTGACCGCCGTGGCCGCCCCTTTTGGGCGGCTGGGGCGCGAGACGGTGTAATGCGGTGTGGACGTGTAGTTGTGTAGTTCCGCTCCGCGTGGCCCAATAGTCACTAATGCACTGGGGATTACCGGTCGTGCTGACATCGCGTGCTATACACAGCGTGACATTCTACTTGTTCTCTCGTTCGCATATAGCCGCGCTGATCAATAACATCAGAAATGCAGTCGCGTCTCCGACCGTTGTTAACTCCACCGTAAAAGTTTTGATCTTATGCACTCGTTTGATCTGAGAAATGCCGCCTCATATATCAGGGGAAGATAGAAGGCACCAGTCCTGCCACGATCATTTTTAGGGCGTTCTCAGGAAAGACCTGTCGGGCACGGCTCGACGCGATCAGGATGCTTGTACATTTTTAGTAATGGAACGAGTGTGCGTATGTTACTTGAGACTGCGAGCCTTGTGAGAGCGTAATTTAAGGTGTTGACATCTTTTTGTACCATCACACCAATAGTGAACGAGACGGGAAAGGTTTATCAACATTACTGAACCAGATATTTAACTTATAAGCATCTCGTTGGCATGCCACGTTCCAGCATTTGTTTGCGCTGTTCACCTTCCATCATGATTTAGTGAAACTTTGCTTTTCAATCTTACCAGATAATTATGTAAGATCTTAGAGAATCCATGATTGCCAGCATTCAGTTACACCTATACTGGCATCAGTTGATAAATAGTGGTCAGCATGGTTTTTGTATGGTTGGTCCTGCTTGACAAATCGTCTGGAGTTCATGGAGTATGTCGCTAGTCAGGAGATTGAGGCAATAGCTTAGATGTTGTTTATCTAAATTTTAGTAAGACGTTTGATAAGGTGCCACACTAGCGTATCTTATATCATTTACAATTACAGGAAATTGAGGGAAATGCTTAGCTGGGTAGGGGCTTGGCTGGAAGAAAGGAAACAAGCAGTAGTGCTCAATGGTACTGAATCGCAGTGGGAGTTGGTAGAGAGTGGGGTTCCACAGGGTTTAGTGTTGGATCCTCTGCCGTTTATTATTTTTGCGAATTATGTTGAGATAGGATAAAAAAGTAAGGTGCGTAGAGCTGCTGACGACAGTGAACTGAAAGTGGCGTCGAAAAGGCAGACCAGGTGAAACTTGACGTAGAGAATCTAGTGAATTAGGCTTTTACCCTTAATTATGATCAGAGTAATTTGATGCATATGGGTAGTTCTGACAGTGAGGGCGTTGCGTATAAGAGGGGAGACCGTGAATTGGACCAGATCGGTGATGAAAATGACTGGGGGGGGGGGTTATAATTTCCAGGGATTTAAGGACTGAAAAGCAATGTGGGGGCTGCTAGGAGCATTGCACTTCGGATGCCGAGGTTTATTAACGGGAATGTCCATTACAAGTGTAGGAATGTTGTGAACAAAGTTGTGCTTAGCTTATTTTAGACCATGCCTTGAATATTGTGTGCAGGCTTAGTCCCCATGCTTCCAAGATAAAGGTAGGCTGGAAAGAGTACAGCAAAATGTAACTAGGACTATAAATGGGTTTGGCAACTTAGAATATAAGCATATCCTTGACAATATAGCAATAGGCTTGAGACCTTGGATTTGTCTTTACCGGAATATCGTAGACTTCAAGGGGATCTGATAGATGTTCAAGATTACGAAAGGCATAGACAAGGTAGATCTACAAGGAGCACTGGAAATAAGGCCGAGTTTTAAGGGAAACCAGCTTCAATGAGCAAAAGGCAGGAGTGGAGCTATGAAGAGACAGATGTCATTTAGTCAAATAGTAGTGAGTCATTGAACGGACTTCCAAACAAAGTTGTAGGAAGTCCCTCCAAAGCAGCATTTAAAGCTCGTTTGGACAAGTTCTATCGGTCTAAGGATCTCATTTACAGCTAAATTCAGGCAGGTCAGGTGGTATGTTTAGTGTCAAGGATGGCTGCGGAACCTGGAGTAGGTCCACTTCGATGTGCCCTTGTGGCTCTTTGATGGCCTGATGTCTGCATATATATATATATATATATATATATATATATATATATATATTTCTATTAAATCAGTGGTAACGGGAACCCAAATATATCCATGAAGTAAATTATATTTGTCATATTCCGCTTTCTACCTGTGACCAAATATGACTGTCAGCAAACCAAACAATGTCGCCAGCAAACTAGACAAGCGCCGAGTTGGATTACTTAGTCAGTTATTAAGTTTTAAGGCGCGTGAACTGCATTGGTTCCTTGCGCCCGCCGAGTTGTACAATGCTGTTCATATGTAGTGGGTAGTATGCACCCACTACCTGGTCGTATAGTGGGTAGTGTATACCCACTACCGGGTAATGTAATGGGTGTACAGTTGAGACTGGCCAGCATGGTTATGCTTGTCTGCCGCGGGCTATGCCGCTGTCGGTGGTCAGATTGCCTGGCCGGTGGATCTGGGTTGCAATGCTGCTGTGTGACTGCGCTCCCCTGCTTGGAGCGGGAATTAGGCAACCCAATCCAACCAGCCCTCCTCAAAGCGTGCATAGGGAATAGCTCCGAGGCTTAAACCGGATGGCCCAACCTCAAGTTCATCTCACCTCGTATAAATCGTCTTTCTTTAGACCTGCGGCACTTTCCTTTTTACTGTAGGCGGCTCCGGCTTTGTTTGGACAAGCTTGCAGCGTTTCACCGTAACCTGTTATGTTCGTGGCATTCAACGATGTCCATACTTTCTCGGTTTGTTTTAATGATGAAAACGTTCAGGAACCGCTGACCAAGTGCGGGTAGGAGCTTGGAGTATTCTCAGTTCTCCCCCATCTGTTCAAACTTCACATTTCAAGGTAACGTTCATAGAGTCAGAATTGAGCGAACTGAATGCGCTGTTTTCCCGTTGAGTGTTGATCCCACTGCATCAGCTGAAGCACTTCACCTTTAGAGTTATGGCTGTGTGGCGGTTTCGCAGAAGCTGTCGATGTCAGGTTTCGCTCTGCAGGTCTGCATTGATCGATCCACTGCGCCCGCTGTTAACCTCGGATGGAGGTGGGCTGTCTGCTGTCGGCTGTGACGGGCCGCGCCCGTGACAACGGCTGGGCGCATCCCCTGCCGTGCCCGCGTGTGACCAGCCACCGCTGTGCCGGCTCAGTTGTGTTGTGATGTCCGTTAGGGGTTGATCAGATGTGATTTCCCGTTTTTGCCGATGGTGACCGGTCTGTGTTGCACGTGACCGGTCATTGCTGTACACCCCGTGTGACCGGTCGCTGCTGTGTACTCAGTGTGACTGGTCGCTGTTGTGTGTCCCGTGCGACTGGTCGCTGCTGTGTATTCCGTGTGACTAGTCGCTGCTGTGTACTCGGTGTGACTGGCCGCTGCTGTGTGTCCCGTGTGACTGGTCGCTGCTGTGTTCTCCGTGTGAATGGTCGCCGCTGTGTGTCCCGTGTGACCGGTCGCTGCTGTGTACTCCGTGTGACTGGCCGCTGCTGTGTGTCCTGTGTGACTGGTCGCTGCTGTGTCACGTGTGACCGGTTGCTGCTGTGTACCCCGTGTGGCTGGTCGCTGCTGTGTACTCCGTGTGACCGGTCTCTGCCGTGCACCCCGTGTGACCGGTCGCTACCGTGCACCCCACGTGACCGGTATCTGCCGTGCACCCCGTGTGACCGGTCGCTGCCGTGTACCCGCAGCCGGGCCTGGACGACATCGTGAAGGAGTGCCGCGGTCGCAACCTCTTTTTCTCCACGGACGTGGACGCCGCCATCGAGGAGGCCGACCTGCTCTTCATCTCCGTCAACACGCCCACGAAGACCTACGGCCACGGCAAGGTGCGAACTCCGCGCCCATCGGTCCCACTTGGGCTTCGTAGCCGAGCCGGGCGCCGTCCGCCCGCGCTGGACGCGCCCTGCAGGCTTGGTACGCGTCTGTTCTGTCCGAATCGTAAAATGAATCGCAGTCGTAAACATAACTCCGTAATCCGTCCTCATAAAACTGATTGTGAAGCCATGACGACAACGGCGCCGGTCCGGCGGTGGCTCAGGCACCGGCGGGCCGGCGTGTCTGACTGGACTTGCACATCCCCCTCGCCTCTGTCGCTCTCTTCCTCTGTTCCCTTATTCATCTGTCCGGTGACCTTTTTTCCCTCTGTCTCTGTCTCTCGGTTTTTGCCCTCTGTTTGCCCTCCGGCCCTGCCTCCAGTCTGCATCTTCGTCTGTCTCCGTATCCTGCTGTGGGCTATGCTCTTGTCGAGCGTTTGCCTCTCCGTTTTTGTTTTTTTTGCGCGCGTCGGCGTTTCAACATATTTATCCGTGAAGAACGCAATAGTTAGCGCATTTCATTCAGCGTACCTTCTAAGGAGGCTATATGCTTGTATAGCCGCTAAGCGATAGTGACGCGTCAAGGCCATCCAGGGAGGTGACGTACCGGGGCCTGTGGTGGCGCCTTCGGCCGTGGCCAGCGCCCTGACCCGTGTCCGCGCCGCGGGCAGGGCCGAGCTGCGGACCTCAAGTATGTCGAGTCGGTGGCCAGGAACATCGCCAAGGTGGCCCGCGGCAACAAGATCGTGGTGGAGAAGAGCACGGTGCCGGTGAAGTCGGCTCAGAGCATCGCCGACATCCTCAAGGCCAACAGAACGAGCCAGAACAAATTCCAGGTACGAGCTGCCGGCGCGCGCCGACCAGCGGCCGCCGGCTCGGCCTCGTCCCGGGCCAGCCGCCCTGCGCAGACTGTTTGGTGTTGTTGGCCGACTCTGGTTAACGAACAGCGATTCGCAGAGCTTCGCTGATATATGGAGACGCCTGAGCTTGGCTTGGTTATTATGCAAAACGCGAACGCGATGCTTGAGTTGTGTTATAAGATGGAAGTGGTTCCCTGTTGTGTGGTTGAACGAAATGAGCTTTGCCTGGGGTGGCACGGCGTTTATTAAATCAAGTTGGCTTTTTCAACCTCATGCTCCGTCTGTTCGTCAGCTCACCGCTGCGGGCGAAACTTGTGATGTTAAGATAAACGCCAGTGCATTTAGCCCCATTATCCGCTGCTGCTTGCAACTCGGTCCCATGTGGGAAGCTGCAGCAGGGAAGAGAAACAAAATAAACGTGATGTTTACACGGCGACCTGTGCTGCGGTGTGCTGCGACCTGTGGCCCGTCTGTTCTGCGGCAGTGCTGCGGTTGTGACCCGCTGTGCCGCGTCGGCCAGGTGCTGTCCAATCCGGAGTTTTTGGCGGAGGGCACGGCTGTCAGGGACCTGCTGTGCCCGGACCGCATCCTGATCGGCGGCGAGGACTCGGCCGACGGCTGGCGCGCCATCCAAACACTCTGCTCCATCTACCGCCGCTGGATCCCAGCCGAGCGCATCATCACCATGAACACGTGGTCCTCGGAGCTGTCCAAGCTGGTGAGTAATGTATCATCACCATGAACCTCACATGGTTCTCGGAGCTGTCCAAACTGGTGAGTCGAGCGCATCACCACCTTGAATGCATGGTCCCTGATCTATCCAAGTTGCTGAGCCGAGCGCATCATTGCCACGAGTAGTTGGCTCCCGGAGCCTCTTAAACTTTCGAGCCCGGAGCGTCATCGCCTTGAATTTCAAGCAGTCTGAGCTGTCTAAGGGGGTGCGACAAGGGCATCGGCGCTGCGGACGCCTGTTGCTCAGACCTTACGCTGTTTAGCCGAGCCGTCTGAAGTGATTCCCGGAGCTGCCCGAATCTGTGAGCCGAGCGCACCATCGTCGTGAACATCAGCTTATGGGTTTTGTTTTCGGTGAAGGAACGACAGCACATTTCTGAGAAGAGCAAAGGCTTTGGTGTAGTGGTTGCTCCCATTGGCTAGTGTCCCAAGTAATTCATGGCGTTCGCCTCGCATTTTTCCCGACAGTGCGAAGCCACTCAGCTCATGACCAGATACCAACAGGCTCTGTGTGTTAGAGCAATGGTAACTTTATTTTGTATAATTCTTAGTTAATTTCACAAGGAATGTTAGGTCGCACACGGTGTTGTCGCCATCGTCGTCGCACCGCAAGTAATTATAACTAGTTGCGAAACCGCTCCCGGGCTTGAAAGGTTTGTTTTCGTCGTCGGCTCTGAAAAGGCATTCCGGGAGTGGATAACCGGTCGGTAATTAAGATGGCTTGAGAGTAATACCATGTTTCTCATTTTCCTGTACGGACCGTTTCGTAGTCCTTTTCCGCATGTTCTACAGAACATGGTCTCCGTGACCTTCGCAGGTCACCCCTTGCAGATCACTGTCTCTGTTGCTCCTCGAGTGTCTCTGCCTCCCACCTCTCAGCTCTTACATGTGACCCCGATCACGGCCTCTGATACGCCTATCCAGAGATATCTGCCCCCTATGAGTGCCTCTGTTGCTCCTGTCCAGACACCTCTGCCCCCTATCAGTGAATCTGTTGCTTCTGTCCAGACACCTCTGCCCCCTATCAGTCAGTGACTGCTGCTCCTATCCAGGCACTCTCCGGAGCAGACGCGGCTGGTCTGCTGCAAGATCAAATCGCTCGAATCGGTTCCGTTTTGACCTGAATCGGATTTGGATTCATTGGCTTTAGCCTTCCGGCTGGGTCAGATTCGGAATGGATTGACATGGTTTGCGACAGAGTCAGAATTGCTTTTACTCTGCTCTCAAAATGTTTGCATTAAAATGATTCAGTCGCAGTCTCTGGGGGGGTCACCTGGTTGGCTTCGCAGGCCAAGAGGCGAGTTCTTCAGTTAAGATATGATGGCATAACATGTAACATGGAAGTTTGTTAAGCATCTGCCCAGTTGGTGGAGACAGAGGGTGCCTTGGCGACATGGGACGTGTGAAACTACTGAGAATATGATAGTTTGACGGGAAGACTGACATTTCCTGTCATCCTGTGGTTGTCGATGCCCGAGTTATTTTATATGTGCTATTCATGTACCTCAACACTCCTTGTTAAATATTGGTGTGCCGTTCATCGTATTTATGTCTTGTTATACACATCCACGGCATTAGCTTTTCAGTGCTGTTTTCAACACTGTTCCATCAACAAGCATCTGGAAGGCTGTGATGTCCGTAGATGCATGGGTATAAACACAAACGTACACTCATACGCTTACACGTATGTGTGTACGCACTCATATCTTTATTTACCTTTTCGACAATTTCTTTCTTCTTTCAAAATCTTCTTTCAAAATCTTTATTTTTTCAACGACAAAAATAATTGGATTCGGATTCGAAACGATCTAGCTTGAATCTGATTGGAATTCAGCTTCATTTGCCTTGATTCACGTTGGGGATCAAGCACAGGTTTGCACCGGAGGGCGCAGACGCATGTACACGCGCGCCTGCACACGCACACGCAAACACACACGCGCGCGCGCACGCACGCACGCATGTACACACACGCACACGCACACACGAATATATATACATAATTTCCTTTCGGCAACAGCGTATAGATCAAGCGAAGACTGCAACATTTCATGTCGAACAAAGTAAATAAACACTTCGCGTAGCTTCCGTTGCACTATTCTACAGTACCACCTACTCCGGCGTACTGTACTATTTCTGCAGTGCAGTGCTTTCGTCGCGCTATTCTACAGTACCATTTACTCCGGCGTACAGTACTACTTCTGCAGTGCAGTACTTCCGGCGCACTATTCTACAGTACCACTTACTCCGGCGTACAATACTACTTCCGCAGTGCAGTACTTATGGCGCACTTTTCTACAGTACCACTTACTCCGGCGTACTGTACTACTTCTGCAGTGCAGTACTTCCGTTGCACTATTCTACAGCACCACTTACTCCGGCGTACTGCACTACTTCTGCAGTGCAGTACTTCCGTCGCACTGCAGTGATGTCCCTCTGCTCTCCGCACTACGCGCCATACTCGGGAATAAATCAAGTTCCGTGCCCCTCTGAACACGAGTTTCTCCGCTGGCTTGCCTGGTGTGGTGACGGTGATATTCTTACCGCTCTGCCTGGCGGCAGTTTGTAGCTGCCTGAGAGATGGACCGAAGATCGAGATAAGCCCGCATTGGCACTAGCACGTGAAATCGCCAGTGCACACTGCTTGTCGTGCACCCATGGCACGTAGTTGAAAATATATATGTTATGAAACGCTCCTTAGAACGGCGGCACGCTGATATTAAAAGCACGGGTAAATGATGCGGGCTCTTATGAGACACTAATGAGACATTTTGCATGGAAAGAAGACAAGTTTGCAGCCCGACCAGATGTCAGATGAACAGATGATGAACAAATGAACAGATATCTGAAGGTGGGATTTTCTGGTTTGTGACTTGACAGGAGGCTAAGAAAATAGCGAAAAGTCCAGGGGAAATAACAGGACACAAAATTACAAGAATAACAAGAAAATGGATGTGGATGGAAGCTGTGGGAATTGGTGAAATTGATGTTGATTCTGATTCCCAAAAGGAGTCCACCAACGGTGCGGCCACAGTTCAGAATGGAGGGAGAGGAGAACGAACAGGTGTTAATTGTTAAAAGTGTGACACAGTGGGTGGACTTGAACTCGGACCGGAAATGCGGTCCGCCGGGTGGGGGGGGGGGGGCTGGGTATTGGTCTCTTGGTCGAGGAATAAAGCGGCCAACCGCGCGACGGACCGAGTTCGGCTGGAGAGCGAGATGAGAGCGGAGAATCAAGGTTGGAAGGTGAACATCTGCGTGCGGTGCGATCACTGATGAAGCGTACCACGCGCTAGTGTTGGATCGAAGAGCTACGTTTTGAATTGTGACGAGCTTTCGGTGATTGAGGGGGGGGGGGGGGTGCAGGTAAACAAAAATAATGGTGTTATGCTCGAGAGCTGGTCGCTTCAACTTAGGGTGTATGTGAAGAAGGGTGTGTTGATCGGCACCCCATGGTGTATGAGATACAGCACGAAAGATGATGATTCGTTGTGTGGCCTTTGTCTCGTTACAATGAGCGTGGGCGTGGAATCGAGGGGTTGCCAAGCAGTAAGAGCCTTACGTATAATGCCAAGTAACGTATGCAAAATGTCTTCTGGGATTGCGGCGTTACGGTGGCTGATGCAGAGCCCGGCTGTGATGGATTGTCCCCAAGGCTGATGTAAATCTTCGACTTTAATCAAGGAGTTGTTGGCTGGGGCTTTGGCGCGAGCTGGTGGTATTGTTCGACGGAAGTAATGACGGCCGCGGCGTCATTGCTGCTCGGCTGTCGACAACGTCAGTTTGGGCCAGTCTGCGAACCTGTTGTGGCTAGGACCAGTGTCGCCTCGCCCTGCCCTGCCCTGCCCTGCCCTGCCCTGCCCTGCCCTGCCCTGCCCTGCCCTGCCCTGCCCTGCCGTGCCTTGCCGTGCCCTGCCCTGTCCTGCCCTGCCCTGCCCTGTCCCGTCCTGCCCTGTCCCTGTCCTGTCCTGTCCTGTCCCTGTCCCTGTCCTGTCCTGTCCTGTCCTGTCCTGTCCTGTCCTGTCCTGTCCTGTCCTGTCCTGTCCTGTCCTGTCCTGTCATGCTCTGCTCTGACCTGTCCTGCCCTGCGCTGCGGTGCCCTGTTCTGTCCTGTCCTGTTCTGCTCTTCCCTGCGTGCCTTGCCCTGTCCTGTCCTTGCTCTGCCTGTCCCTGTCCTGTCCTGTCCTGTCCTGTCCTGTCCTGTCCTGTCCTGTCCTGTCCTGTCCTGTCCTGTCCTGTTCTGCCCTTCCCTGCGTGCCTTGCCCTTCCCCGTCCCGTGTGATCCAGTGCTCTTCTGTATCGCTGTGCTCTGCTCTGCCCTACTGACCCTGCCTTAGCTTGTTCCACACAGTGGTCGCGGCTTCTGCTTTCCTACTCCGCTTCCGTCCTACCCCGTTCTGTCCATGTCCTTCGCAATGCTGCCGCTGTCGCCCCACGCTTCACGCTGCCATTCACGTCAGCAGAGTACACCGGTCGTATGGCCAGTCGGCTCCGCCGGCTGTGACACGGTATCAGATGGTTATTCTTGGTCCTGAAGTTGCGCATGCACGTAGGAGGCAATCCGGAAGTACAACACAGTCTATTGTTAATGCTATGGAAGCTCTGTGCCCAAGAGCCAGTTCAGTGCACCGGAAAGAACTTCCAGCGGCGTCCCTGCCGGCTGCTTCGGGGCAAACCTGACTGTTGAAGATGCTGACTGACTGGGCTCGGCGCATGACTGGCTGCGGCCTCCACGTGGGGACGCCGCCCCAACGTCGTGGCGCACTGTCTGACGTATGATGGCGGCTGTGGCTGGGCTGCCGTGACTACACTACACTATGCCACACCGCTGACCACGGCTGGGCTGCCGTCCTAACGTCGTGCCCTCGCCGTCGGCAGGTGGCCAACGCCTTCCTGGCTCAGCGGATCTCGGCCATCAACGCCGTGTCGGCCGTTTGCGAGGCGACCGGTGCCGATGTGAGCGAGGTGGCGCGTGCCGTCGGCCAGGACGGCCGCATCGGACCCCACTTCCTGCAGGCCTCCGTCGGTGAGAGACTCAGCGCCGCTCCTGGCTGATGGTGTCGGTGGAGTGACGGGAATGGTGTCGCATGGCAGCCAGCGTGTCGTGAATATGTTGAGTGCGGCGCCATGCTCCGCTTCCTCGAATGTGCTTGATGCTGGGTGCTTGTCGTGATCATCCCCGACTGAAGTTTGGTCGGATTCGAAACTCCACAGGCTTGTTTCACTTTCAGGTGTTGATTTTATTCAGAGCCAGCAGCTCGTCGTGTTTGTCTGTCGACCGGCCTGCTGTGATTTGTATGTAATGCATGTTATGCCCCAGAAGGCTCAGTCACCCAGCCCACCTGAAATTCTAGTCGTATATCCTTTTCCTCATCAGAACCAGGGCGATTGTTCCATGGCTAAACTGCAGTTGGCTGCTAGTGTGAGGCCCAGGTTCTGAAAAGAGATCTCGGAACTTAATCGTGGTGTTCGGTTCTTTGGTTCTTGTCTAATCTGGGTCATCACGCCACCCTATCCCCTTCCATGACCGCGTGGTCATCCAGTCACTCCCGCCTGTGAGACACCTCCAGCGCTTAACCAGTCCGGGACTTGCTCGCGTCTGTGACCCGACCTGACCTGACCTGGTGGGCCCCTGGTGCCGCTCCCTTGGCCGGCCCGTCTCTGACTTGAAGAGGCCCGACACCAAGCGGACGCGGCGTCGGGTCTGACCCTGCGCCCTCCCGGCTGATCGGCGCGGCCGCCAGCTGCGGCACCCTGGCCGGCCGGCGCGGCGGGGGCGGCGCCCCCGCGCGCCCCGGTGCACCGGCCGCCATTGATCGTCGCCTGATGCTGAGCCGTTAATTGACGCAGTGGCGGGTGGCGGGGTCGACTGCGGCCGACGGCGGAGCGACATCAGCCTCTGGCTTCAGATGTGGCGACGCGACTTGAAACGTCCCGGCCTCGGTTGGGACTGATCTCGCTCGCAGCGACACGTGCCGTCACAGCGCCGTGTGTGCGTGTGCGTGTTCGTTTGCTTGTATGTGTGCGTGTGCGTGTGCGTGTGCGTGAATAAAGCTGCGGTAAATTATGGAAGCTAAGGTTGTAGCTCGCGTGATTCCCTTCGGGGGCATCCTCACAGTGTTCAATAAGTTCGTAGGATTTCCCCTGTGTCCATCCCCACGAAAGGCGAGTTTCTGTCATGATGTTGGGCAGTGTGTCCTCACCCGAGTCCTCTCGTCCTCACAGCAGGCACGAGACCGGTGGCGTCTGGAAAGCGTGACGCGCTCCGTGTTGTAAACCAGCGTCGGAACCGCTGCGAGTGTTGGCACCTTCCAGCAATGACGGGATTCGGTCGCATTGTTTGCTTCGCGTGTGCTGACGGCTCGCTCCGTCCTGCAGGCTTCGGCGGCAGCTGCTTCCAGAAGGACATCCTGAACCTGGTGTACATCTGCGAGAGTCTCAATCTGCCCGAGGTGGCCGAGTTCTGGCTGAACGTGAGTTGAAGACCAGTCGCTACCGGCCGCGGCGCGTGCTGCGGCGCTGACCTCGTGCTGCCCAGACAGGGGGCGGGGCGCCTTCCATCGTGCCAGCATCCAGGGATGGCGACCGTGGTGCAGTTCACCGCAGGTAGTGGATTTAAAGACGCTGCCCTTTGACGAGCGTGACGTCTGCTGAGGCTGGCTCTGTGCTGGCTGGGCCTGGACCCTGCCGTCCGGAGCGGGCCGGGCCTCAGCGGTGTACGTGCGCGACGGTCCGCCTCCCCCGGGCGGGCGGGCGGGCCGGTGGGCCGGCCGCCTGGCGGCTGCTCGGGCCCCGGCACGTGGGCGGCCCACCGCCGGGCCGGCCACTCGTTATCGCTTCACCCAGAGGCGGACAGCCGTGACTGCTCGCCCGAAGCGAACACGTGGCGGCGGACGTCCGGGAAGTCAGCGCGCTGGGCTCGACTGATACGGCACGCCTCGAACAAGGCTCAGCGACAGGGGACTTTGTGTGGTGCGCAATGATACGGAGTCAGAGGATTTGCAGCGTGTGCTTTCTGGCGATGTTTTCGTGGCGGCAGATCAATGGGCAGAAAGCTATGGCTACCTCGCTGTCAAGCGTCCTAAGTCGCTCAAGGTTATAATGAGATCTTTGGAACGTTTCGAACCAGTCCAGCTCTATTTTTGTGGGCTGTGTAGGCTGTTAAGCCTGTGACGGTGTTCAATCTAAAAGTCGGTGATAGTTCGGAAATAGTTTACTGCAGCCGTGCGGCGGTGTGATTCATTAAGTCACTTGCAGGGACGCCGGAAAAGGTTTACTTGGTTTGTCTGGAAATGTTACCGCCAAGTACACACAAATGGCCAGAAGGTGCAGAATGTGGTGTTGATGAAGTTGTCCTCGTGGGCGGCCGACATGCGAGCATCCCGCGGTGGCCTTTCCTTGGCTCCTGCAAGCTGAGCTCGGCGTGGCGCCGCCGGCCTCTGGGCCCCAGCCGGCGACGATTCTCAGAGGCGGCCAATAACGGTCTCAGCCGGCCTCGGCCGACCGTGTGGGGATGTTAACGGTGGCCGGGCTGAAAGGATAGCGTTCAGAACGGTGCGGGCCACGTGACCCGCCCGCCGTGTGGTGCCGAGCCTGTGTTCGCGTCGGGTCGGGCTGGGTGGGGTTGGCGTCGGTGGAGGCGCCGCCATGACCCCGGATCACGCGCGGGCCGTAGGAAGCAGCTGGGGCTGGTGGCTGACTCGCCAGGTTCGTTCTCATGTTCACCGGAGCTGGAGCCACGCCGCAGTGAGGGTTTTCGGCGGTCCCCGATCATTCGCCTCGCTCCATTCCAGGTTGTATCCATCAACGACTATCAAAAGCAGCGCTTCGCCAAGCGCATTGTCAACTGTCTCTTCAACACGGTGGCCGGCAAAAGGATCGCGATCCTGGGGTTCGCCTTCAAGAAGAACACGGGCGACACGCGGGAGTCGGCGGCCATCTATGTTTCGGCTCACCTGCTTGAGGAGGGCGCCCGCCTCACCGTCTATGACCCCAAGGTAGGTCAGCGTGCGTTGTGACGATGGGCCATATGTGGGCATAGGGCAGGGCCCTGAGCGGGGCCTGCGTACCGTGTGCCGATGGCCCATGTGAAGACTCGCCTTGGTCGGCCGCGTATGACCGAAGCACGGGCCCCTCGCAGCATTAGCCCCACTTGATCGCGTGATGTCCGTTCCCTCAATGGCAACCGCCGGCGTGATCTTTCGTGTCACAGGCCAACTGCCGATCTTTCGGATACGGATAGATAGGATTAAACGGCTGGTGTTGTCACGAACCAGAGATTACGGGGCTTCAGGCTTAATTATCAGTTCACTGTGCTGTAGAAGAACATGCGAGAGGGGCGGGGAGGGGGAGTGGGTGATATTCCTGATTGTGACAAGAGGATAACGATTTTGCTTGCGTGGTCGGCAGACAACGCAAGCGATACTATGCTGGTTATATGGACTTGCTTGGGCGGATCCCAATATTGACTTACCCGCTGACGATTCTTCTAGCGGGCTGATTGTGTTACCTTAGCGTGCATGAGCTATACACTATGTTCTGTGGCGGTGGAGCAGGATGCAGGCTGACTGCTTCACTCCCGGCCAGGTGTTTAGCCGGTGTCAGACCTTTTCCTCAAGCTTAGCTCACTCCTGAATGGTTTTACCGCATGCTGAGTAATTTATTTGCGGCTTGCGTGGTGCTTCTGACAGTGAAGGGGAACTATCTCCTACCCCACCCGAGCGGCTGCGAGGCTCCTGCCGTGCGCAATGAAGGGTCGGCGGCTCGTGACGCGCTGAACGCTGTGGCATGTCGCGGCCCCGCTGTGTTCTCTGGAGGACCCGCTGTTCACGCTTTGCGGCCTGACCTCGCTGTGTTCTCTGAAGGACACGCTGTCCATGCTTTGTGGCGCGACCTCGCTGTGTTCGCTGAAGGGCCCGCTGTCCATGCTTTGTGGCGCGACCTCGCTGTCTTCGCTGAAGGACCCCTGTCCATGCTTTGTGGCCTGACCTCGCTGTGTTCTCTGAAGAACCCGCTGCCCACCGTTAGCGGCGCGACCCCCCTGTGTTCTCTGAAAGACCCGCTGTCCATACTTTGCGGCGCGACCTCGCTGTGTTCTCTGAAGGACCCGCTGTCCACCTTTAGCGGCGCGACCCTGCTGTGTTCTCTGGAGGACCCGCTGTCCACGCTTTGTGGCGCGACCTCGCTGTGTTCTCTGAAGGACCCGCTGTCCACGCTTTGTGGCGCGACCTCGCTGTGTTCTCTGAAAGCCCCACTGACTACGCTTTGCGGCGCGACCTCGCTGTGTTCTCTGAAGGACCGTCCGTCCTCGGTGTGCTGTGGCGGGGTGGTGGGCAGCAGGGCGCTTTTGATGTCGGCCGTCCAGTGCTCGTCTAGCGGGCACTAAGCGCGGCTGCAGCGCTGCTGCGGTGGCTGTGATCGACCCAGGGAGGACCCTTGGGCGACGCTCCGCATCACACACTGGGGCATGTGCTGGCGCTGCTATAAACTTGTCACCCGGTTGGCATGGATGTCTCCACGACGGCGGAACTTCCATGAAGTCTCTGCAAAGCTGGGAGCGATTCAGGGTCTCTGCCGAACTCCAATCAATCACCTGGCGACACGATTGGGCGGGGGGACTTTAACTGTTCGCAGAATCGGCAGCGTCTGCTGTGCTGGCTTGGTCACGCTCCGTTCGGTAGGCCAATCAGCACGGACATTCGACCTCAAACCGATCAGTGAAAGTACAACTTAATGATCTCGCGTTCCAAGTCTAGATTAGAGTGAGTGCGGGGCTATTTTATGTCCGTGCCCTAATTGTGCAATGTTTGCGTCGATAAGAGCGGCCGTGGCCCCGCTAGCCTTGGGTCTTCTGCACTTTCAGGGATCAGATGATCGATTCATGCTTGTTTCGCTGCGCCGCCAGCCGGTGCCTCATTTGGCGGTGATGTAACGTGGCCCCCACCCACATAACATAGACTCACAACCTGATCGGTCAGGGCGCTCGCAAGAGGGGCATATTTCAGCTTTTGGCTGGAAGACACTGTATGTGTCAGGAGTAGGTTGTGCAAATGCTAAGTCGTCGACAAGATGCCGCAAAGCTTGAGTAGCTGTGAATATACTGCCCGACAGCTAACAGACTGCCAGTGGGCGGAAATATTAAATACTTGGAAAAACTAACAAGGAGACACTAGATGCTCGCGTGCAGTGCGCGTCACTGAGATGCGAACTAATGTTAAACGTTAAGTGGCTGGAGGAGGTGCCATACCGACCTCAGCGGCGCCGCCTCTTGGCACAGCGAACCAAGCGGGAACCACAACTAAATATATGTGTGACGTCTTGAGGGTGTGGAACGGCATTGCTCGGGTGGTGTTTCCCGACGATCCACTATTGTCGGCAGCCTACAAACGCCAGCTTCGGTGCGCGTTATGTTGCTGAGACGCGAGTCAGCGTCACGTTACGGGTGGCGGCACTGCCGGTGCCAGCGCCGCAGCCTCTTTGCGATTCCGCTGCGAAGCGAAGCAAGTAGAAATCGCTTGTGTTTCTCCTACATGGACACAAATTGCATTCCTGCCAAATGCGAAAGATGGTCATGCTCGCGCCGGTTTTTCCCCACACGGCATCGGACGAACGTGAAAATGTGTCGGATCGTGGCAAAGGCTGATCACGTAGGAGATGGCAATTTTACGGCAATTTAAGCCGTGTTTACTGCGCTTCCGAATAAAGAAATTTGCACCGACGGAGGTACGCTCGGAAATTAGTGAAGTAGGTGATTAGGTTTGTTTTCGTTGGCTTATGTCTTGTTCGAAATAGATCTTGCATTTCAAGATTTTGTTTTGTTCATCTCGTATCGACCCAGTAAATCATTGTATAATCATACGTTTATGTTTAGCGGTTTTGCGTTTTGATCCTGCATGATCTTGAACTTTCTAGTTCGGCCTAAGATTAAACATGCAAAATAATATTTGCAACCCGATTTTTGCTCAGTGATGCAACTATGTACTCAACATTCTTGGAAGGAAGTCATCCATGATGTAGTGTGTGGTGTCTGGCGTTTTTCACTCACTCGCTAGGCCGTGACCTGACCGCTGACCTTCCGCAGGTCGACCCGGACCAGGTGATCCGTGACCTGCGTCACGTAACCGGACAGCCGGAGGCGGTGCGTGACCAGGTGGAGGTGTGCGCCGACCCTTACGAGGCGGCCAGGGGTGCGCATGCGCTCGTCATCTGCACAGAGTGGGACGTCTTCCAGGTAAGGGCAGCCACTTGGCCGGCGGACCAGCCGCGTTGATCGGCCAGTGAACGGGCCGAGGACGAACTCGAACGACAGCTCCAGGTGGCGGTTGTGCCCGCTCCCTCATTGGGCCCATGCCACTCACCCTTCCGTTACGAGTTAAGGGAGGCAGTTTATACGTTTTGGCGCGGTGTTCTCACGTACTTGTGTGTGTCTGGAGGGTTGCTGCGGCGGGTCGATTTCGTGTTACTGCTGGTTGGTGTGCTCTGGTTCGGAGACGTGCCATTGATAGTTGCGGCCGTGTCGCCCGCCACAGACGCTGGACTATCGGCGCATTTTCGCGGCCATGCCCAAACCGGCGTACGTGTTCGACGGCCGGAAGATTCTCAACCACGACGAGCTCACCAAAATCGGTGAGTCGCTGCACGGAGTCGTCGTGCCGGTGGGTGTAACGGATCTGCCGCGCGCGGGTGGAGTGCGCTGCGCACACGGTGCTGGGAGCGCCATCACGCCCGGTGGCGGTCGGTGTCGGGGGGGGGGGGGGGGCGTGCAGTCCAGACCTCACTCGGCTTCTTGTAATTTCTGTGAATGAAATGCGGACGTTGGGATTGTTGACTGTACGTCAAGAAGAGAAATGACATCAGCCCGTTGTCGGCGCGTGCTGCGCTCGCGGCCGTGGCGCCTCAGGCTGTGAAGCGTCGTGGGCTCGAGCTCTTCTGCGGTGGTGGAGCGGGCTCGTAGTGCTGCTGCTTCGTGCCACGCGTAGGCGGCCGCGGCGCCGAGTGGGGCACCGGCCGCGGCCACTGGGGTCGCGCCGCCGTTGACCCCCGACGCCTCACTGCCAGGCTTCGAGGTGGAGACGATCGGGAAGCGAGTGCGCCACGTCTCGTCGTCGCACCCGGCGGCGATCACCAACGGCATCGGGTGTGGCGAGCCGGAGCCGGAGGCGGCGGCGGCGGCGGAGGCGGACCACTGACCACGCCGCGCGCGCGGCGGCGCGCTGGGTGCGGTTCCCGCCCGTCTCGAGCGGCGGGCCGGCGCCGCACCTGGCTGGCCGGCGGGCGTCCCGCCGACGACGTCACGTCTGACTTCACAACGCCACGACAGCCCGCTGATGACGTCACGTCGCCACGACAGCCTGCTGGTGACGTCACGTCACCACGGCCGCGTACTGACATGTCGCCACAGCGGTCTATTCGCCGGCGGCGTCTTGCCGGACAGCGAAACCCTTCTGAAAACTACGGATGTCCGGCCATCTCGGGACCGGGCGCCGGACGTGGACGTGTGCCATGTGTTGTGCTGCACCGCACCGTGTGGCGAGAGCGCTGCACTCCCGCCCCAGCGTCGGCCTGCTCTGCCGCGCCCCCTCGGCGGTGCACCGAGCACTCGTGTGGGCGTCTCGCCTTGGGCATGTCTGGCCGTGGCGCCGCCCCCGCGGCCCTGTCGGTGTACCGGCCGGCCTGCGCCGGCCGGTCGCCCGAGGACGAGCCGGCCAACGCCCGTGGCGTGTGACCCGCCCCGGCCGGCCGCGGCTGGCGGGGCTGGCTCGGCGCACGCTGTGGGGCCGACGCCCGGTGCGTGCGGTCAGGGCGACCGATGATAGGAAAGAAATCACCGAGCCTCCCCGGGAGACTGAGGCAGGGGCGTTGGGCCAAATTCGGTGGCAGGGACATGCAGTGGGCGCTGATGCCTTGCTGTCTGGAGGCCAACGGGTATGTCTGTCTGTTGGGCACGGCCTTACGTTGATCATGAGATGACTCACACTAAGTGCCTTTGTGTGCATTCCTTCGCCTTGCCTTGCCATTTCGAGCACGATTATGTGTGTACCCATTCGTTTACGTAGCGTTCATTACTACGGAAAAGCTATATGTGATACAGCTAGGATGTGTTAAAAGATATGCTAATGTTTTTACCCATTTGTGTGGGACCGTGCGGGCAGCGTCCGCCCGCGGTATTGCTGGCGCGACGGTGACGCTCGCTGTGCTACATTCCGAGCTGAGTTCGGTCTGTCGGCGACGGCTTGCCGTGGTCGTCGTCGACGGTGCCGTGTGGTGCCGCCGCCGCGTACTGCCCCCCCTCGCACCGTGTCCCAGGCCGCCGCGCCGGAATGGCGGGGAGGTGCCCCGGTCCCGGCCAGCTGAGGCCGCGGGCGGGCGCCGGCTGGGGCCGCACGGCCAAGACCGGTACTGGAGACTCCCGTGCCGCCGGCAGCCGGCTGCTCAGCATGTGAACGCCCGCGGCAGCTCGCGAGGCGCCGCGCCTGTCCGTCCCATGTCCCTCCCCCTTCTGGCAACGGTATGGCGAAGGCCATGGCGAAGGCCATGGCGAAGGCCATGGCGACATCAGCCCAGTCTGAGTCTGACCTCGGGCCGGGCCGCGATCTCTTGTCAGCTGTGTTTCGTCCCGAAATATGAAACTTCTCCGCTGGTTGAAGCTTGTACGGCGTTTGTCCCACCCTCCTGGTTAAAGCAAGTGAATCGCAAGCGTACTTGCGTCTCTGCAGTATTGTGTTGTGGTATTCCTTGAACCGTCATTGTGTGCGCACAAGGCGGTCGCAATTCTCTGAGATGTGTTGTGCGTAAAAAGTTTCTTCGTGGGCATTCTGAGATGTCGGTGAATGCCCTGATGACATTCTGTTAATAAAGACATGCCATCCAGTCGGTCTGGTATTGTGGCGCGCTGCCACGCGCTGGGACGCTTGTAGCAGACTGCGTTCCGGGTGGCGTAGTTACGTTCCCTGACGCGTATACGAGTGATCGATTCCACAACTGGCGTGCCAGGATCGCTCGGTGGCGTCGCACCCCGTGCTCACTGAACAGACAGCTGGAGAGGTCCTAGCCATTCGGAGTTCACTGTGACGCTGGCCGTATCAGCGCCTTGGTTGCATGCGTCATCTGGTCTGGCCTCACCGGCTTGAAACATCGCTTACGGTAAGCGTGGGGTGGCATGGTCCGTTACTTCGTTCTGTTTCGGAGTTACCTTTTGAGTCACGGCGGAATGGGCGTGTCACTTCTTTAGATGTTAGTGGACCAAGTAACTTCCGCTTCCTCTGTGGTTCGTTACCCGCGCAAGATTCAGGCCTTTACCCCGTTGTTCCTCACCTTTGATTTGAAGGCGCAGTTGTATGCGGAATGATCGCTTTAGTTGAGGCGGCCGACCATCCGACCATCGACGACCGACAAATCCAGACCATCAAAGTGCAGCCGTAATAATGACCCCAACGAGGGGAAAACCGGACACTTTTTCTATGTATTTTGCTGACTTCTGGAAGCAATGAGGTGTGGCTTGAGGTGCAAATGTAAAGAATTCGCCGAGATGACCTGACCAGCCTGTCCTTCGGGAAAGAGGCGACCGGGCAGCGGTAAGTGTGACACAGTCATCCCATCCAGCGCTACAGTGGAGCGCGTTTTTTCTACGGGGAGCGACGTTCCAGACTAAGCGTGCCACCAGAGCGTGCCACCATAGCGTGCCACCAGAGCGCGCCACCATAGCGTGCCACCAGAGCGTGCCACCATAGCGTGCCACCAGAGCGTGCCACCATAGCGTGCCACCAGAGCGTGCCACCCCACCAGGCGCGAATCGAGGGCGGCTGACGTAACCGACAACTTGCCGTTGTGACGTAGAACGGCCAGCAGCGGACGGGGTGAGACGCCGCCTGCGCGGCTCGCCCAGTTGCCGTACCGCTGACTCAGCGCGTTGAGAGGCGGTGGGGGCATGTTCGCGGTCCGCGTGGTGGCGGAGCTCCGGCGGATGCTGGGGCGCGCGACGGCGGCTCCGGGTTTGTCGCCAACATTGACATATCGCTGCTTGGGTATCCACGTGCGGGGCCGTGGCAGATGGTGCTAGCTGGCGCTGTTCCACTTGAGAGTGCTGCCCCCATTCAGGCTGCGAAAAGTTTATCCACTGCGCCGGACGCCTGCGCCGAACTTGGCGCATGTGCGCACCGAAACTGGTGCACGCGTGCGCCGAAATTGGCGCATGCGTGCGCTCAACTCTGACCAGGCCAGTTGTGCGGAATTTTCAAATAATGTTTCTTTGAAAACAGGTTTTAGGAGCGCTGGCGCCTCCCGAAATTATCCTTGCGACACCATCCTTCAAATACTGATTGTCCTTAGGTCGAAATTGGAGGCGACCGTGCGCAGAATGACAAATTCTCGGATTTATAGCGCGCAAGCGCTGAACTTCTTGCCGCAATGTCGCCGCTTCACCGGACATGTTCGGCGTAACATGCACTGTCTGCAATCCAGACCCGGATATCAGCGCTGCGTGCTATCCCGTCGCCGCTGCTGCTCCGCCACCGCATGCTATCTCCCCCCCCCCCTCCCCCCCCCCCCCCCCACCGCCGCCGTCGCCGCCCCGCCACCGCGTGCCATCCCCCGTCGCAGCCGCCGCCCGCCGCCGCGAGCCATCCCCACCGCCGCCGCCCGCCGCCGCGTGCCATCCCCCGTTGCAGCCGCCGCCCGCCGCCGCTCCGCCATCGCGTGCCATCCCCTGCTGCCGCCGCCTTCAAGCCACCGCGTGCCATCCCTCGCTGCCGCCGCTCCGCCAACGCGTGCCATCCCCTGCTGCCGCCGCCTCCAAGCCACCGCGTGCCATCCCTCGCTGCCGCCGCCCCGCCAACGCGTGCCATCCCCTGCTGCCGCCGCCTCCAAGCCACCGCGTGCCATCCCTCGCCGCCGCCACCGCCGCCGCCGCCGCCGCCGCCTCGCCACCGCTGCTGGCTGAGCCGCATGCCTGCATGCGAAGCTGGTGACGGAGGAATTGATTGTAGGGACCAGTCATTGTGTGCTGTGAAATTATGTGAATGATCCATTGATCAGTAGCATGGTTATCGTGAGCAAGTTCAAATGATTTCTGAAATTCTTTACATCACATTAAGAATTCAGACGGTTTGCCTTTTCACAAGTTTCGCACTATCGCAAAAGGTGGCTTAGGTGCAGGTGGCTTAGTATGCGTGTGAGCAAGGTTTCTGGCTTTTTCAAACGTTTAAAAATGGCAACGTGATGACGGTCAAAGCAATTATGCTGCAATGTCCGTAGATTAATTGAGTAAAGAGAAACGGGTCTTGCTTTTGAAGCGATCGAACAACTAGTAATAGAGGCACGTTGTACAAACGGTGCGCACCTGGGAGGGTTGGAGGACATCTGCGGTTTAAACTTCCTCAGTGCTGGTGGAGCAATTTCCCCGCGAAGTTTTGCAATGTTGCCATGGAACTTGAGACGTTATGTGAAAATTTCACTGAAAAGCCTGCTTTCCTCCCATTGCAACGAGCTTCAGAAGGTTACGCGGAGGGCCGGCGCCGTTTAATACGTGGCGAGCTACCCATGGGTGGAAGGGGAGAGGGGCGGCCGACTCGTGTCCAGCGGTGTCCACCGGCATCGCCGGGTACGAGACATCTCAAGATCGTCTGCCCGAGCTGCCGCTCTGGATCGTCTGCCCGAGCTGCCATTCAAGATCGTCTGCCCGAGCTGCCGCTCTGGATCGTCTGCCCGAGCTGCCATTCAAGATCGTCTGCCCGAGCTGTCGCTCTGGATCGTCTGCCCGAGCTGCTACGCTGGATTGTCTGCCTGTGCTTACATGTCCCTGTTGGTGTACACCATGGCCGACCCGAAGGAGCAGCCGGACCTGAAGACTGGGCAGATTCCAACCGCGCCTCTTGTGGCTGTCCAGTTGGTGGGGTTTTCGGCGGCGCACCTCAATTTTCTGGGGAGGGTTTGTTTGTCATGTCTGTGACCTGATTTTGACTTTTTCTCCCTTTACAACTTCGATTACGTTTGCCTGCGCCTCCCGTCACTTTGTCTCACGGGTGTGGCCCCGAACGCGTACGATTCACTAGCCCTGAACTTTTTGCTCCGTACAATCAAGCCGTGTCCAGTCCCCACGATTCAAAGAGCTCAGATTGAATTCCCTGAAACCTTTGGACAATTTCTGATTAAATTTCGCAAGCTCAATCACGAGGCTTTTCTGGGCAGTGACGGTGACAATGTGCTCTTTAACTACTTCCTGGCCCTAAGATGGCCATCGTGGCGGAAGGCGTCATCACGTGCGGTTGCCAGGGCCCGCAACGCATTACGGGTTGAACGACTCCGTTCAAGCGCCGTGCGTCAGGTGGCTTCGGTCGAGCCGTCCATGTTTGACCAAATCATGGCCCGTATGGACCCACTGGGGTAGCGTGCTCCTAGTCAGCAATTTCCCGTGGCAGTCGCGCGGTTCGCACCGGACAGAGGCCGTGGCAGGCACCGGGCTGCCACACGCGGTCCGTGTTGGCGTTCGTGACATCAGCTGCTGTGGCTCGACGCAAAGCCCGGCGCGTTTTCCTTTTTGTAATGCCCCGGGGCCTGAAATCATAGCCGGGGCTGAGGAAACTTACTTCTGGATGAAAGCCAGGCAAAGAGCTACCTTAAGCCGGCTTTTACCATCCGACCGAAAGCAAGGGATAGGAGACGCTACGTTACATTAAACGGCTCATTTTGTCCGTGTGCAAAAGTAAACGAATAAAAGCACAGCGAATTCATGCGTACATGTATTCAGCACAAACAGTCCGCACGCAATACGTAATGCATACACAATACCCGTTGCCTACGGGACGGTACAGCGCGGAAGCCAGGGCCGCTTCATTGCCTCAACCGGCTTCCCCTTCCCTGGCTATGTGGCTCTGGCTGCGGCCAAGGAGCCTGTTCAGCGGCCCTGGCTGCGACCAAGGAGCCTGCTCAGCGGCCCTGGCTGCGACCAAGGAGCCTGCTCAGCGGCTCTGGGTGCGACCAAGGAGCCTGCTCAGCGGCCCTGGCTGCGACCAAGGAGCCTGCTCAGCGGCCCTGCATGCGGCCGAGGAGCCTGCTTAGCGGCCCTGGCTGGGACCAGGGAACCTGCTCAGCGGCCCTGGCTGCGACCAAGGAGCCTGCTCAGCGGCCCTGGCTGCGACCAAGGAGCCTGCTCAGCGGCTCTGGGTGCGACCAAGGAGCCTGCTCAGCGGTCCTGGCTGCGACCAAGGAGCCTGCTCAGCGGCCCTGCATGCGGCCGAGGAGCCTGCTTAGCGGCCCTGGCTGGGACCAGGGAGCCTGCTCAGCGGCCCTGGCTGGGACCAGGGAGCCTGCTCAGCGGCCCTGGCTGGGACCAGGGAGCCTGCTCAGCGGCCCTGGCTGGGACCAGGGAGCCTGCTCAGCGGCCCTGGCTGGGACCAGGGAGCCTGCTCAGCGGCCCTGGCTGGGACCAGGGAGCCTGCTCAGCGGCCCTGGCTGGGACCAGGGAGCCTGCTCATCGGCCCTGGCTGGGACCAGGGAGCCTGCTCAGCGGCCCTGGCTGGGACCAGGGAGCCTGCTCAGCGGCCCTGGCTGGGACCAGGGAGCCTGCTCAGCGGCCCGGCGCGGCCTTGTCGTGTGATGCGTCAGGTTAACCCGCGAAATCCTAACTAGAAAAGCCCGGGTTCCTAAACACATGGGCAAACCAGCATGTTTTGGCCGAATTGTGCGTGGAAAACCCTTGGCAAAACAAAGGCCAGCGCGTCTGCAGCTGCGCAGGGGAATTCTCGCAAAATGTTTATGTAATAGTCTAGGCTACTGCTGTGTAGAAATTACAAGAGGAGGAGGTCGAAAATGTCCGAATAGCAGCCGCCTGATTGTGTGAGTGGGAGCCTCTGTGTGTTTGTGTGGCGCATGAG